TATATATATATATCTGTGTGTGTGTTGATTTGCTTACTTAAAGGGCAGTTCTTGATTGACTATGATTTTTTTATTTCTACCTCCGACATTTCTCCCTTCTAAGTGTTATATCTGATGATGAGAATGTACTTTGGTTGTGACTCGTCAAAGGTGATGATTATCTCCACTTGCTCCTGTACCAGTTCTACTACCGCCAGCCTCCCCTGCAAACTCCCTGCTGCCATTAGCCGCCCCTGCACTTTCCTACAGTCACCAGGCCCTTTCGGCCCCTTCCCTACAGTCGCCAATCTGTCTGACACTCCACCTGTGACTGCTCGCTTCTCGAGTCCCCTCTCCAGAATTTCTGCCACAGTTCCCAACCTTTCCAAACCTGCTGACGCCTCCCCATCACTAACATGTTAGCTACCAGTTCCCCGCGCATTGTGTTCTACTTGTTGACCAATTGACAACCATCCCACACCTTTCGTATCAGCTGCCACCGTTCCTTCTCGCCGTATCGAGGGTAGTTTTTTGCGTTTTGTTGTCTTATTATTGCAAGTGTCATTGATTGTTACCCTATTTTCTTAGCATAATAAAATTCTGCCCTTCCTATTAAATTTGGGTTAACTCCAGTACTCGAGTATCAATAGGGTCTCATATCTTTTATGAGTACGAGTAGAGATCTTGCTTTTGTAAAGGAAAGAAAGAAGAGCAGGATATCGGTGTAAAACCTGGAAGAGGTCTCGGAAGTTATCTCTTGAATTAGAGCATCTGATAAGCCGCCGGAATATAGGGCTCGTTGGAGGTTTTTTGACCTACAAGGTTTTCTTGGAGAGAGAAAGAGAGGGTGTGCCTCATTCTTAGCTTGACTTTGCTTTTATACGAGGAAAATTAATAAAAAAATGTCTCTAGTATTGTACGATTCCCAACCACGATGTTTTGATGAAAAGAATGTGACATATTTAAGGATGGATGGAATTGCATTCCCAACCACGATGTTTTGATGAAAAGAATGTGATGTAGGTGTCAGAAGACATATTTAAGGATGGATGGAATTGTGTTTTTGCTGGTAGCGATGACCATCTCTAATAACATGGAGGGAAAAGGCGAGTTCAGGCACTTCGATAAATGGGCTCGATTTAACCACTTCGGAAGGTGGGCTCAACTCAGCCACTTCGGTAAGTGAGCTCAATTCAACCACTCTGAAAGGTGGGCTCAGCTCAGCGACTTCAGTAAGTAGGCTCAGTTCAAGCACTTCGGAAGGTGGACTCAGAAATGCGTGAAAAAAATCATATATATCCGTATTTGTGTATATAAATATAATTGAAATGTAGTGAATTTGAAATACTTTAGAACTGTTTAGCTAAGTGTTAAATAAATGTAGCTTAATTTGATGAAAAATATAAAACACAATTAGTGGAGGGGATGGTTGTAAGCATTTAACCGTGATGACGGTTGCAGGCATCGGGCGGCGGTTGGTGGTTGCAATCTGCTGTGAAAGTCGACATGCAAGAAGCATCGGACTGCAAATTATAGCATATTTGAAAATCACTCAAATTTAATGAATTCAAAATGCATCAATTTTGAATATTATAAATTCTAAATTCACCAAAATTTTACATTGTAATTTTTTTAATTTAACTAAATGCCGAAATTTAGAAAAATTTCAGCATTTAGTTTGCACAAGAAATGCAACAAAACCAAACAACGCCTAAGAGCAGTCATCATCACCAGCAAGTGAGTTTTAATGAAATGGCTAAAAATGGTCCTCACCATATCATCAACAAATGAGTTTTAAACCCCGATTTTAATTTCTCAATACTTTTAGTGACTTGAGACATGGGTTGCTGGAGATGATCATTTGATCAAATCACGGAGGGATTTCATCCTTTGGAGTTCTAAAGCGGAATTTTCTCATCTGTTAGCTGTTGTGGGACTGTAGCCCCTTATTTGCTCTTTTTTTAGTACTAATTAGGGTTCTTCTGTTCTATAGTGTAAAAATATGTGATGAACCTTGCTTTGAACACCTTTTGGCTTTGGTTTGATAATAGTAGAGATTTATTTCTTTTAAATAATCTTATTTGAAAAGTTAAATAATTTTCTTCTTCAAATGGTTTCCTTTTCGTTTTGTTCTTCACTCCATATTTTTTCAGATTGGTGAGTCACCGAACAGCTTCAAACCCCTTTCAAGCTCCGCTTTCTGTTGCCATTGTATACCCTCCCCCCACTAAAACCGAGTCCACCGCATTCTAGGAATCCTAAAAAGGTGTCAATTGGTTAAAAAAAAATTCTAAATCTCTAGAGATTTATTTTTTTCCACTTCTGAACCTAAAATCCACATAAACTAACAGAATATCTCCAGCAAAAACCATCTATAACCCTAAATCACATCTTCTTTGTTAGTTGAAATTCAATTTTGAAGAAAATAAAACTCATACCGCCGAGGAGAAACATGTAACGACATACTATAACACCAAAATTTCAACCAGGCAAAGTTTGGTACAATTGACAAAGTACC